TGCTGCATTTGCTGCTTAAAGTGCCTTAGATTTTGTGTTATTTATTTATCTACTTTATATTTCATTTGTATTTTGTGGCATTCATGTGGACGGCAAAGTAAGAATTTCATTGTACAGGGAAACACGTTTCCTAACTGTGCATATGACAAATAAACACTTTGACTCTTCTGCTAGATCACGCTGTCCAGCTTGTACCAGTGAATCAACTTACTATGGTCAAAGAGAGACTGTTTTTTAAGGTTTAAATCAATTCCTAATTTAAAGTCATAGGCCTTTAGTCTTTCATTGCATTTCTGAGTGAATACCAGTGAAGATTTTGTATCAGACATTCATTTGATTAATCATTAGGCTACTGAATGATCTGTGGCATCGTTTTTATATTTTGGATACCAGTTTAAAGCAAAACAAATCCATGAGTCAACTCAACTTGTGCCATAGAATATATTTTTTAAAATTTTCAGAGAAAAGTCATTCCTTTTGGTAGCTTTTCTTTTTTGTGCTCTTAGAACAAGTTCAGCGACAATATATTTTTTGAAAATATGCATCATTCATTCATATGTTTATGTTGCGTATTATCAGTGTTCCTTCACTGCGAGTAATATTTTTCACAGCTGAATTTATTAGGCTGGTTTTATCAGTGTATGAGGAGGCCCCTTTAAAAAAAAAAAATCTCTAGTAAAACACCAAAGCCGTCTGTAACAAAGAGTGCTTATTTCTGAAGTTGCTCATATGCTGTCCATACATTTTCACTTACTTAAATGCCTTTCCTTCACTCATGTGGTTCAAATGATGTGATGTCAACAGTCATCCTGTATTCCAGTAATTAATCGGCTTTGACGTAATGGACGTTGGCGTTTGGGCAGATGGTATTAATGTCTTATTCACTGTTATAGATGTACACATAACGTGCCAATAATTAGCTGCTCGTTCTGTTGCTTGCCCCCTCACAGAAGGTGCTGTGTCAGCTTGCTACAGAAGAAGATAATGCTGCAGTGCAGGAATTAATGAAGCGTATGGGTGTATCACCTGAAGAGTATCATCTCAAAGTCTTAAGAAAGGTATAACCATTTTATTCCTGTTGGTATAAATCTTACCTTACCTAATTTATACGTTATGTAATTATGTCGACATACTGAATATGCAAATTGTGCTTGTTCTTTCATTTCAGATGGTGACACTGTTGCAGGAAAACATAGGAAAGAGCTGCAGTTCTCTGAGTAACATAAATCAGAGGTACAGCATCAAGGAAACTAGGGCTGCAAATAATGATTAAAATAATAATTTATTGATTAAGTTGTCACATTAAAAAAAGAACTGGAACTGTAAAAAGAGAAGTGAAATTAAATGGTTAACAAAAAGTAGCTGCTGTTTAGCTGAATGACCAAACTAGCTTCTACAAGAAAAAGGCTTCCCCTCCAACATTATAGTTATAAGTAGGGTTATTAGCAATAGTTTGTTTAAATTGTTTTTTAAAAATATGCTAATACTACGTTCAGTTTGGAAGTATTAAATCTCCCTAATCATTAATTCCCCTAGGAGGTATCCGTTCCTGTCTTTGATGATACAGATTATGTTCATTATTAAGTGAATGTCTCCATACAGGTGTTCATGTGAGAGCATTCTGGCTACATCAGAGGCTTGTGTCCCCCTCGTCACTTGTCCTGAGGCTGCTCCTCTCATTGGCGCATTGCTACAGCGGCCAGCGACTTGTGTCAGAGCAGCTCTTAGTGAGGACTTCCTAGATGCTCTGAGCTCTGCCTACTTAAGGTAGAGAAACATTAAAGGGATTCAGGGATGGAGTCCCTTTTAGACCATGGTATACAGTGAGGAACAGAAGTATTTGAACACCCTGCGATTTTGCAAGTTCTCCCACTTAGAAATCATGGAGGGGTCTGAAATTCACATTGTAGGTGCATTCCCACTCTGAGAGACAGAATTAAAAAAAAATTCAGGAAATCACATTGAAAGATTTTTAAAGAATTTATTTGTCTAGCACTGCTGAACATAAGTATTTGAACACCTGAGAAAATCAGTGTTAATATTTGGTACAGAAACCTTTGTTTGCAATTACAGAGGTCAAACGTTTCCTGTAGTTCTTGACCAGGTTTGCACACACTGCAACAGGGATTTTGGCCCACTCCTCCACACAGATCTCCTCTAGATCTGTCAGGTTTCGGGGCTGTCGCTGAGCAACGCGGAGTTT